TATCTATCTATCTATCTATCTATCTATCTATCTATCTATCTATCTATCTATCTATCCATCCATCCATCAAGAAGTGGCAAACAGGTTCTGATCAGTTCTGGAGAACCGATAACGGAAATTTTGAGTAGTTCAGAGAACTGGAAAATCCGACCTCTGACTGGCCCCGCCCCCATCTATTCTCCACCTCCCATTGAGTCCCATCTGATCGGCTGGGTCTTCTTTGGTTGCCCTGCACAGGAGAACGGAGCTGAAAAGCAGGTTAGTAGGGTGGGGACGGAATGGGGATTTTGCAGTAACCTTCCCCCAGGAGTGGGGCGGGAATGGGGATTTGAACTACGTCGCCTACGTTTGCACTTAAGCGTAATACACAAAATTATCTGCTACAATGTCCTACCAGTCAATGATTACTTCAGCTTCAACCGCAACAATACAAGAGCACACAACAGATGCAAACTCAGTGTAAACTGCTTCAAACTCGATTGCAGAAAGTAGGACTTCAGCCACAGAGTGGTCAATGCCTGGAATTCACTACCTGACTCTGTTGTTACATCCTGTAAACCCCACTCCTTTAACCTTAAACTAACCTCTATGGACCTCACCCCATTCCTGAGAGGTCTGCAAGGGGTGTGCATAAGTGCACCATCGTGCCTACCATCCCTGTCCTATTGTCCCCATTTATTCATACCTATTTCCTGTATTCTTACTCATGTTTATACTTACACCTATTACCTTGTAAGCGATTGACAAATCAAATAAATAAAATAAAAATGAACCGGTAGTAAAAAAAAAAAAATGAATACCATCACTGAGTACAACCACCAACCAAGCAGGAACTGGAATCTTCAGTTTATTTATTTTTTAATATACACATACTGATTATAGGAATATTAAAAAAAAAATCTTTTCCAGAGTCTTGACGCACATGGTTCACGGTGTGCTCTCTAGCTTAAAAACCCTAGATGGCTTCTCAAATGGCTGAATATCCTCTCTTGGGCTAAATTTTGGCTGCTTTCCTGCATAGACTAACTGAAGAAAGGGGGGAATGCAAGAAACTGGCTGTTTTCAGTCAAAATGACATTAGTATGTATCCTCTCGCTGGAGATTGGATAAGTTGCATGCACAGTGTTGGCTTTCAATTACTCTAATGCAGTGAGTCATTAAATGTCACTCCCCAGGACAGTTGTAGCTAAGCAACTAGTGGTCCTAGTGGTGCTTTTATAAGATCAGATGTCACTGCTAGGCTGGTTGCCTTGGTAACTTAAAAAAAACTGAATAAGAAACTGGACCTTTCACCCACCAAGCCTATTTTTTTTAATACCGTTAATTAACATGCCGCCACTGCTGGCAATATTTTCCACAAGCTATCTTAATAGTTGATAGTGAAACCAGCTTAACAGGATAACAGAGTCGGAAGGGACTTTGGAGGTCTTCTAGTCCAACCCCTTGCTCAGGCAGGAGACCTTATATACCTGTGATGGTGAACCTATGCCACGCGTGCCACAAGCGGCACACAGAGCCATTTCTGCCGGCACACGAGCCTCAGGCAAACTTACCTCACTGCGCATGTGCGTGCCTCACAGCTGATTTTTCGGCTGGTTTGAGGCCTTTTTTGGCTTCCCAGAGGCTTGGAAAAAGATTCTGCCAGGCTTTTCAGGTTGAATAGGCCCGTTTTATCACTTCCTGTAATACCAGAAGTGACAAAACGGGCCTATTATTCGACCTGAAAAGCCTGGCAGAGGCTTTTTCCAAGCCTCTGGGAGGCCGAAAAAGGCCTCAAACCAGCCAAAAAATCAGCTATGAGGCACAGTACAGGTACTGTACAGGGATAGCAGGGGGGATTGCGCCCACATCTACAGGGGGTGTGGGGGGACGCACATTGTATTCTGGGTGCTGGCATGCGAGTGCACACTAACGCGCACGCAATTTTTGGCACAGGAGCCCCAAAAGCTTAGCCACCACTGTTATATACCATTTCAGACAAATGGTTGTCCAGTCTCTTGTTAAAAACCTCCAGTGTTGCAGTGTTCACAACTTCTGGAGGCAAATTGTTCCATGGATTACTTGTTCTCGCAGTCAGGAAATTTCTCCTAGGTTTCTTCTCTCCTTAATTAGTTGCCATCCGTTGCTTCTTGTCCTGCCTTCAGGTGCTTTGGCAAACAGGTGGACCCCAGGGGTGGGATTCAAAAACCCCAGCAACCGGTTCGCTACCCGGTTGCTGGATGGGCGTGGCCATGGTAGGCGTATCCTACCGGAAGTTCCAGGAGGGCCATTTTTTTTGCCCTCCCCAGGGTCCGGAGGCTTCCCTTGAGCCTCTGGGAGGGCGAAAATGGCTTCTCCCGGGCTCCGGAGGCCCTCCAGAAGCCCAAAACAGGAAACATTTCTGGACTCCCGGAAGGCCCATTTTTTTGCCCTTCCTGAGCCTCCCTGCACACCTTGCACTTACCTGCATTCAAAATGGGTCAGGTGAAAACTCCTGGGTGGGGCGGGGTGGGGTGGGCGGGGCCAGCTGCTTGGTTCAAACTACTGGTTCAGTGAACCAGATGTAAATTTAACACCTGGTTCATGCAAACCGGTTTGAACTGGCTGAATCCCACCCCTGGTTGGCACCTTCTTTTTTTTGTAGCAGCCCCTTAGATATTGGATGACTGCTATCACCTGGCTTTCTCTGGCTCACTTGGAAGTAAACCCCACTATCTGGAGTATGTCCGATTTTAAGTTGAATGTGCCCATGAAGGATGAGATGATGGAATGTATGTACGGAGGAGGCCCTGAGGGATCAGAGGAAGGGTCATATGTGGAGATAGGACCCAGGTAGGGATGGAATGGAGATGAGAGCGAGGAATATGAATTCTGATAAAAACATCTTCTCCTGCCTTCATTTCTTTGCCTTAAGCAGCCTGGCTCCTTCCTGTCTTCTCTCTCTCTACAGAAGGAGGGGGATCGTGGGGGTGGGGGCTGCTGCCTCAGACAAAGATTTAAAACTGCTTTTACTTTTCTCTGCGGAAGGAGGCGGGTCGTGGGGAGTGGGGGTGCTGCTTTGAGCTGCTCTGCAATAGGAAAGGGGTTGGAACCGCACAGTCTTCGCGAGGCAGAAGTTTCGCACCTTAAACCACTAGCCAGGATACGAACAAGAATAACTTGCTTATAAGAAAATCCCCCAAAACCACAGAGCTGGCACATGAAACTAGGACACTTTGCAAGATATCCATAACCTGGAGGGAAACACAGGCGACGCGACATTTAGCTATGTAGGGGGCTGAGATCCAAATAACCAATCAATATTATCTGTTATGCATGCATTATTAGGGGAAGGGCAAAGGTTGTATTCAACCACCCCTTGACTATAAAAATTGCTCTAAGATTCTCATCAAAGCTCTTGGTTAGTTTTTGAGCCAGGGTCCTTATAACTTTGTGCCACACCTTGTGCCAGGTGACTTATCGGCTTCGACACCAAACAAGAGCTCAGTTTGGGGACAACACCCATCCTTCTGAGGGTTGATAACTTTAACCGAAACAACAATAACAAAATCTTTCTCTTCCCGGAAGGGCAGCTATTAAAAGGAAAAACAGCATAGTCTTATTCGTTACTGTTCAGAAATGGATCCAAAGAAGGAAGTTTAAATCTTGTCCACTTGTCACTGAAATTTAGAAACAAAACTAGAGTTTCTGTGGAATTCAGTCATCCCGCACAGGGAAAAAAAACACCTCATATCCCACCAACCCACCATAAAGAGGATGAATTATTGCAGTTATGATGAAGGTCTATTCTCTTGACTCATCCATCATTGACATAATTTGTCAACTCAAGAATATTTACAGAATTATTTATTAGTAGTATTTGTATGCCACGTGACTTCTTACAGACACAGCCGCGTACACAACCCCCCAAGAGGATTATAAACAACTGAACAATCACAAGCAATAAACATAACATTATACGATACTGAAAGGATAGATAACATCTAATCTCCCTTCTTTAGAGAAACTAATTAGAGAGGAGAGAATTCTTATGTATGAGAACATGCTGTTCCAGAAGAGGGGCGAATTAAAGTATGCTAAAGTCCAGACATAAAAGCATGCATGGATGAATTATTAAAATAATAGATCGTTGTTCTCCATAACACTACTGGGAATAGCAACAAGCACGTTTTGATTCAGTTGTCTGAAACCAACAGCTGATCCCAGAATGATTTCGTACAGCTACATTTATTTCTTATAAAAAATAATACGGTAGATCCTGCCATCCATAACTCATCTCTTGTTGAAGTCTAAGTCACTACCAACTCCCAGAGTAGCAGGCTAGAAACAATGATGTTGTAAGCTCTAATTTAGTTCTATTCTTCCCTGGATCACTTTGAGGTAGGGCTATTTTCTTAACCTGACAAATAGGGTGGGGTTTTTTTTTCTTAGCAGATGACAGTAAGTGGCTGCTCAGGACTGAGCTCTAGAACCAAAGGTACATTGGGCTTGAGGTACATTTGGTTACGAGACCACCATCAAACACTAAGAGTCTACCAAGAAGGTGAAAAACATCTTTGAAGTTGGATGGTAAGGGAAAGTGGTGGTTGGGAGACCATGGGATGATTCCTCCACCAGTTTCACATAGAGGTTGAACAGCATGAGGGACAAGGTAGAACTCTATGGAAACTTAAGCCAACATTTAGATGTTGCACAGTAATCGTCTTTGGCCTTGAGGATACAGGATATAGGCCCTCACTGCTCAATCTCACTAGGCAATGGTCAACAGTATCAAAAGCCAATAAGGGCCACGTTCTCCTCTACTCAGAATCCAGCAAAGCAACTGCAGTAGTTCCAGTACTTCAGAAAACCTAATTCTAACAGGGCTTCTAATGTCTGTCAAAATGCCTATACCTCTTCCATTTTTTTCTCATTACCCTTCATTTCCTACTCCAACAGACAAGGAGGGTAGGAAATGATACATTTGGGTGGGGATCAAGAAAATGTAAAAACACTGTAAAGTTCTTGCTTACATTGTTCACAATTTATTGAAAGAAACATGATGTGTACACGCCTGTTCGGACCAAGGCTTCCCGAGACACCAACAAACACATATAAAATCCAAAACTCTTTTATTTTAGTTCAATGGCTGTGAATTATCGTCATTCAACTGCCTGGAATGAGTCTTCACTGGTTATAATTAGTCCCAGGGACATCTGCCAAAGTTCTTCGTAAGACATCTGATAAGAACACACCTTATCTTACTTGAAGTGCTGCCAACAACTAAAGTCCCAATTAGTCTTTCCAAAAACCAAATAGAGAACAAATTCACTATGGAGCTTTCAGAGTCCAAACCGATTAGAGCGAATGACTTTACATCCTGCAAAGGTTTTCCTACCTTTGCATGTCCTTTATACCTTAGAGGAGGGGCAATCACCTCCAAGCCTTATTCCCGAGTCGCCCCTTTTGGCTTAACTGCTCTCACCTTCTAGCAGCTCTGTGCATATGCACACTGGGAACAGGCTCCCTTTGTTCCTCTGCCTTGCTGCTGCCAGATTCTGGAGGCTCCAGAGTCAGCACCCCACTCCCAGATGGTCCTGGTCCCACCTCTGCATCAGATGCAGGACCCTCATCCAAGTCCTCCCCAGACTCCCAGACTGGTCCCCATTCTTCCCCACTGTCCAATTCTGCTGCTGTCTGCACAGGCTACCAGTGAACCACAACAATACCAATACGTCTCTCAGTAAGGCAATACTGTCAGGGCTGGGCAACTTACAAGCCAAATAGGACCTTCAACCTGGTATCACAAAGACCTTTGCAGGTGACTAATTCAAAATTAATCCTCGCGCAACGGGGTGAGCTCCCGTTCCTTGCCTCCGTTCCTGCCCACCTATCAATTTGAAAGCATGGAAAGGAGAATAGATAAATAGGTACCACTTCAGTGGGAAGGTAACGGCATTCCATGTGTTTTGGGTACAGCCAATATGACCTGCTGGCCATATGACCACGAAAATTGTCTTTGGACAACCCTGGCTCTCTCGGCCAAGAAACGGAGATGAGCAAGGTGCCCTAGAGCTGGACACAATGAGCAGGGAAAGTTTTATCTTTAATTCAGAACTCTGTAATACTGGCAACCAACTCCATGGACGAAACGATGGAGAGATTGGGTATCAGAGGGGAATGGAGAGACAGGAATGGCGTAAACAGAACGGGCGACTCCCTTCTTTCGGCGTTGCCTCCTCCTCGCCTTTATTTCAACCTCACCCGCCAACCGGCATATGGCTCTCCACATTATCCTCAAGGGTACGTAGGAGGCAAGATTTGCTCGCCTTGGTAAAGAAGAGCAAAACATGGGGGAAGATGAGATGTATAGCATCTGTTTGTGTTCCTCCTCATCAAAACATGTCCAAACTCACTTGCAGAAGGGCCTGAGAACGTGGTGACTGAATCATGGTGACGGAGGAAGGTGTGAATGTGAAGATTAAGGCTGAGTGTGAATGGCGTTCCGCCCATGGACTCACAGTGGAAGACAGTTCACTCAAGCATTCTTACTGTTTTAGTTGCTTACTAATAACCAGCAATCATTACACCCAGAAATGATATATATGCCCTGTGCAAAGTTGGAAGGAAGCAACTCTGCAAGAAAGAAGTTTTTGGATCCAGGTGAGGGAATTTCATAATTTCCAGCAACAATTTTCCTACCCTGTAATGTGAGGCTCACAAGGGACGCTGTGGCTCAGTAGCTAAGAAGCTGAACTTGTCAATCAGAAAGGTTGGCAGTTTGGCGGTTCGAATCCCTAGCGCCGCATAACGGAGTGAGCTCAAGTTTACTTGTCCCAGCTTCTGCCAACCTAGCAGTTTGAAAGCCTATAAAAAAATGCAAGTAGAGAAACAGGGACCCCTTTGGTGGGAAAGTAACAGCGTTCCATGCGCTTTCAGCGTTTAGTCATGCTGGTCACATGACCACGGAGACGTCTTCGGACAGCGCTGGCTCTTCTTCGGCTTTGTAATGGAGATGAGCACCACCCTCGAGAGTCGGGAACGACTAGCGTGTACGGCAAGGGAAACTTTATTAACATGAGGATCAGAAAGAATAATCAGGAATATTCATGGAAATATTCTTATCCTTTTTTTTACCAGACGTTTCTACCTTTCTCTACATGCTGGTATTTGCCCCACATACACACCCTGCACACGTGTGTGTGCGCACACACGCACACACACAATGCACAAACTTGGTTGCAGAAACCTTTGAAACAATTCAGGCAGTTTCTTTTCCCCCTCCTGCAGCTCAAATAATTGAAGCATATGTCACGGGTTGAAATCTCAGGAGGAGATTTGCCCTCGCAACATATTCTGAGAAAGTAGTACAAAGAGTATGGATTTTTTTTGTTCCCCCACGTCTTTCTTGCATTCGGCTGCTGACACAATAAAAAATGACTACAGTTGCAGGACGGTGGTTTCTTTACGATATATTTTCTTCATCTGCAGCAAAATACACGGGTGCCTTTAATTGGATCTGCATCCAGCGAGCATTAAAATAAAAATTACAACTGGATGGAGACCAGCTGCCTTAAAATATTCTTGCTTGCTTTGAGTGTAGGGCTTCCGGCTCAAATTATGGACAAAAACACAACAATTCTTTCAGTAATCAGGTTATTTTTTTCTTTCTTTCTGTGTTCTTTTTCGTTATGTATCCCTCACTCCCGCCCCACCAAATGCAACAAACGAGGGAGCTTTCCCAAAGAGAAAAAGAATGAGGGAGGAATAGTCCTTCCAAGGCTCCAGTGGCTCCAACCGTCAACTCATAAAACATTTTGTAGATACGTTTTATAGTTGCCAACAGAAAGAAGGGGTGGGGGAAGTTTCAAAGATCAGGCGGCAGTGTGGAATCGAAAGTACATTCCATTCATATTTTCTTCAGAGACTGATTAGATGACTGAAGCTTCTGCTGTGCAAAAATCTAATTGGAGAGCATGATTGACGACCCTTGGCTATGGATGTGTTTCATTGGATGATACACCCAGAGGGGCGGGGGGGAAAGCAGGATCAAGGGTGACAGCGAATTACGTATCTCAGAGTCGGCTAC